GGGGGTGTATGTCAGTGGATACGCAGGAAGTATTAGGTAGGTAGGTAGGTAGGTAGGTAGATAGGTAGGTAGGTTGGTTGGTTGTTTGATTGGCAGGAGAGCATGCAGGTAGGTAGGTAGGCAGACCTATCTATCTATCTATCTATCTATCTATCTATCTATCTATCTATCTATCTATCTATCTATTTATCTATCTATCTATCTATCTATCTATCTAAGTTTGCTTACAAACATAGAGAGACCACTGCCTTACTCAAGATACCTGTGTTGTCCGTCTTTCCGATTTTCATTAACAAGTCCCTACGACAGGGTTGTAATTTTTGCTCCAACATTGTCCTTTTCTTTGTAATCATCACCAATCTAGCTGTCCACCTTTTTGAGAAAACGACGAAAAGTGGAAAAAGTCGACCATTTTTTAAGGAAACTAAAGATGAATTAAAGGTCCAGATGGCATTACATGACTGACGACAACAAATAATGAGAACTACGGAACTGATACTTTTAAGCCCTTTGGGCAATTTTTATCGATTTCATTTAATTTATTTACCTTAATACAGCTTGTGCACATTTTAAAACACATGTGTGTATGGATTGTGCTAAAAAGAAACCTTGATCAAAGGGACAAAAGTGCAGTTTCCAAGGATGCTCAAACTTTGGAAGTCACCAAACTTTTGCGACCATTTCCTCGCTTATGTTATCTAAGACAACAGGCGACTCCCACCTGCTTCAATACGAAATATCTCTTCTTTTCAAGATAGATAGGTTTTCTAAAATCAAAAAGGCTTTATGATTATACCAAAAAGTTCGAGAGTCCGAAAACTAACCAGAGCCTAATTCTATCAGTGTGCCACATTTATGGCATGATTTGTGGTGGTGGGCCATGATTTATCATACGAGTGAAATTACCAAATTGTAGTCACGAGTTACAACGAGTGACCCATGCCAACAATTACACAAGTAGGACAAATCATGGTCTACTACGAGAACTCACGCAAAAATTGTTTACCATATTGTTACCTCTCTGACGAAATAGGTCTGGACCAACCAAGATCAATTTTCATTATCAGTCAAGTGATCAAGTGGCCTAACTCATGAGTCTCATAAGAGAACGAAATTAAGTCCCATCGAAGTCCGAGTGAGCAATTCCAAAAAGATTGGTCCTTATCTATTGTTCTTTTTAGGTGTAGGTGTTTTACGGTGCTCGCAACTTCATAAGGTCATATGAGCGCGCGGGACACATTAAGAATTTAAAGTTCGGTTGGAAATAATTTTGAATTTTACCCTGGTGGCGGCGGACTTACGCTTATCGATTTTAGAACCACCAAGGGATCTTTGATGTGCACAACCTGCTGACAGGACCTCCGGGATATTTTTGCCCTTCTCCGAGAAGGCTGGATGGAAGATCTTACCTACCGTAAGATCAAAAGTGTAGCTGAAAGGCAGCAGTAAGGAGCCAATTAGTAGCAGTAGAAAAGCAGGCTGCTAAAAGAGTTAGAAGGCCAGCAGAGGATGGGGCAGTTTGAGGGGGGGGGGGGGGAGGAGCAGAAAGTGGAGACGAAATAAGTGGTCAGAAAATGGTTAGAAATCGGGAAAGGAGGTGAAAGGGGAATATTTCTTTAGAGCACCTCAATACCACGAGAGCTCCCTTTCCTCTGCTTGGACACACGACTTATTAAAAATCCTAGTGCGTGGTTACTACAGATTTTTAAAAGTTTATAGCTAGGACAATATCGATTTTAAAACCACGTTCGTCATCTTTTTTTCTACGTCTAATTGCTACATTATTCTTATCAAACTCATGTTTAGATAACCTTATAGTGCGGTCAAAAAATCCGTTGGGCAACTTATCCTAAAAAAAATATATTTGACGGGCGAATCGGTGTCCCCATACTTTGCACGGTAGTTTGTTTCAATTTGTCTTAACTAAATGATATTTTTCCACAACAATTGAGATTAGATTAAACACTTTAAATTAATGTAAAATACAATAAATCTCCGTCACGTAAAAAAATGGGGTTGTTCACAGCACTTCCCGATTTTCGCACATGTTTTGCATAAGCAAATGACTAAGTCACAGCTCATCAATGACACTTTTTAGTTGCAACACATGTTACAAGAAATTAATTTTTTGGGGAACACTGTTTTGATCTAAAGGCTCTCAAAACATGCGTTCGAAAAGTACAACATCGGGACTAGAAAAACATGACGGGCTTTCTTTTAAAAGCGATATTGCCCCAGCTGTAAACCTTTTAAAATCTGTAGAACCCACCCACTTCTTTAGTATACAGCTAAGATCTGTTTACAAAAATGTTGATCTGCTATGACAAATTGATACAAGTCATTGTGCAAAAGCTAAAAAGTCTATGTTTGATAGTTTAGAAAATTGCTTGATGATAATTGCGCCTTGAATTTTTGACAGCTCCATAAAACAAAAAACCTGTTCACTATAAAATCAATTTGTCGTGAATAGCAATTTTCCCAGTAAAAAGTGTCATTGGTGATCTGTGCAAAGGCCATATGCGTATGCAAAATAAAAGTGTGTGAGAACCGGAAAGTGCTGTAAACAATACCATTTTCCGGGTGACGCAGATTATAGTATTTTATACAAAGTTATGAAGAAAAACTGTTTTTGTTTAAATTTAACTTCAATTGTTAAAGAAAAATCATTTATGTCTATGTTAAGACACATTGATACAAACTTCTGTGCAAAGTATGGGTGACTTTGATTCACCGGTTAAAGAGATATTTGAGGATAAGTTATGCCACAAATTTTGGACCTATAATTACAAGATCACGTAATGCTGTCCTTATAATATGCATCTCTGTGACAAACAAATCTCAACATGTTTCGTGTGTGAGATAGCAAAGTGAAAAAAAAAGTATTTCACATATAGGGCATATGGATTTTGTCAGAAAATATTCCATACTAAAGTAACTTATTGTATGAAATTAGTACAATTTGTACAATAGTACGAATTTCTATTAAAGTGACAATACTGATTTCAGTATTATGATGAAATAGAAAAGGTAGTACTATATTGTGTTTCGAACAATGAATTATACAAAGTAAACAGAAATAGAAGTCAACAAAAGATCAAGAGTCGCTGAGTACACTAATCCAACTATCAATGACGTCATCAGTAAAGGAAACTTCGAACACCCTCAGCAATGTAACCCTGCGCGAACTTAACAATAGATATATCTGGGAAAGAATCAAGTGTTACAAGCAATACCTCAACCAACGAACTTTCTTATGCCTATGCACACATTCTCCCAACGTTTGGACATCTGCACCCTGAGGACTATCTGGCAAACTTGACACTCAAGAGAACAAACAATGAGAGAGAAAAGAAACGTCATCGCGTCCTATAAAAGTACTCGCTTTCCAGCAAGATCTTCACAAGCCAAGGAAAGGTGGTGAACTTTCCTCACAGGGACGCAGGAGAGCAGCACGGATAGGAAACTTTGTTCCCAGTCTTTAAGAAAAGACAGTACTCGTAAAACGTACAGAACAAACTTGACGAAGATGGGAACATCTTTCCAGATACTCGTGGCTTTCGCCGTTGCTTTATGTGCAGCGTCCCTGGCAAGAGCACAAACAGGTAATGCGTTATCTATCTATCTATTTACCCATCTATTTGTTATCAGTAGTATTATCCACTATAACAACTATTTGACCAACATAATAACTTACAGGAGCTAGATTCTTTAACAGATTTTTAAATCATGAACATCCTTTCTTTTTATTCAGGGGGTGTAGCAAAGATTGTTTAGAGCTTTCTTCAACATCATCCTTAAAATAATCATTGTTGAAGACTTCGCATTGTTGGTTAAGGGCACAGGATAGGAATAAAGCAATGTTTCATTGTTCCCGTACATGTTTTCCGTTGCTTTCTTACCTTTAGCTCAACACTTAGTCAAGTTAGTTTGAAGAGCAGATTCCAGCACAATCTCTTAATCGGAATTCAAGCTCTAGCGTTTTCAAATGATGTAGGAACTGATTGATCAAATATATTTGACCGTTAGTGTATTTTTTGTGAAAATTATGAGCATAGTTGTCCGTTCTTTTGCGGAATTGTAGCGTCTTACTAAACACAGAGCTGGCTATTAATTTGTTTATGGAGGACTTGGTCCTGCCCTACAGGCCACAGAACCGAGATGGATTAATTAAACAAAAGAATGATATACGTTTGGAACGTTTTCACATATCCAACAGTTCGCTTCCTTAGAATTACAAAGTTCTGTCTGACATTTTAGCCGTTTGAGTTACTGAGACCATGAGACCAGAAACCAATGTCCTATCTGCTCTGTCAAATTCGTAAGATTATTGGGGGTTGTTATGAAGATATTTAAAGACTTGCATTTGAAAAAGCTTGACATGTTGTGAAACTTAAAATGTTTGTCTTCAAATTTCTCAAAACTAAGTACTGAGCAGATAGAACTATGCAATTCTGAGGTAGCCATGTATGTAGTTTGAAATCAATTGGGCCATAGCAGCGGACTGTTTTAACTCTTTTTGTTTTGCACATTCTAGTAACCATTGGCCAGGGGTCTTGTTCATCGATTCCTTTCGGGCGCACGACAGATTGTCCGATATCCAGCGCCCAACCTGGCATGACCTTGACAGCTACGGTTGTTGGCGGTCTTTACTCGGCTTATTGTATTCAGGTGAGATTCTTTTTAAGTCAGGTTATCGTCAGATTTTTTAAATATTATTTTTCTACAACAATACCATTTAAACTGCGCCAGTCAGTATACAATGTAAAAGGCTCGAGCTGTGTCGTAGTGAGAACTTTGTTCGCAATAGTTGTATGTCTGTCAGTCTCCTAGAGTGTCAGTCTGTCTGTTCTGTTCAGTTCTCTCTCTCTCTCTCTCTCTCTCTCTCTCTCTCTCTCTCTCTCTCTCTCTCTCTCTCTCTCTCTCTCTTTTCTCTCCCTGTGTGTGTGTGTGAGTGTGTATGTGTGTATGTATCTCTGTGGGTATGTGTGTGTATCTGTGTGTATATCTGTGTGTGTGTGTGTGTGTGTGTGTGTGTGTGTGTGTGTGTGTGTTTGTGTGTGTCCGTGCGTCCTGCATAGACAACCCCCTCCCCTATGCACACACCTCACCCGCCCACACCCACACCCACAATCGTTTGTTTTACTTGTTCTTAAATCACTTTGCTTGTCATTCCCAGGGCCGCTGCAGTTATTGCCGATGCAATTCATGGTATTTATTATACTTTTACTGTTTACAGGGTCTTACCTATAGCATCGTTCAATCTGGAGGTCAGTATAGGCTTAGGGTGTCCTATCCTTGTGGTGCTACTTTTCGGATTGACTCTGTTGGGAACGCCGCTGCTCAACCTACAACCACCGCTGCCACTACAGCTGCCACAACCACAGCTCCAGGTGTGTTGAACACACCACAGTGGGGCGCGTGGTCCCAGTTCGGATCGTGCAGCGCATCCTGTGGGGGCGGCCTTCGGTCTAGAAGTCGAACCTGCAGCACAGGGAGAAATGCAGACTGCGAATCCTTGACCTCATTTGCCGTGGACCGTCAAGACTGCAATACTCAAGCTTGTCCACCAGCAACCAGTAAGTATTGCTACATACAGGCGATCATGATACAGCGCATTAGTTCATCAGTCAATGTCTGGATCTGCAGGGGAGAATGTTTCGAAAGCAAAATAGAAGTAAGTAAGTAAGTAAGTAAGTAAGTAATTTTATTCAGTGTTTAAAGCCATTGATCCATATCACATAATATAAAACACTAATTTGTTAAACAAAATGTCTATAGTGAAAAATTACAGGTTATGCACATAATATCTCTCATCACAGGCCAAACATTGCATGAATCTGTTGCTAGGCGAGTCAGGCTGGAAGGAATTAACCATTTTCTTTGATGGGCAAAATCAGACGATAAAATTTCCTTAAAAGTCAAACCTCTAACATAAGGGTGAATTTAAAGCACAATAGAAGAAAAAAAAGATTAGGCTGATTTGTTTTGTGGTTTCTTCTTTGGCTAATGAGGATCATTCTAGCAGAAAAGAGTTAGCTTAATTGTGTGCATTAAAAACTCTTCCATTTCCACGTCTGGATATTCGCAGCTTTCATGCATCTCTCTTGGCTTTTGCATAAATTCGTTAGAACCTCGTATGTTACGATTTTCTGCCCCCGTGTATTTGCTGCTTTCCAACAGATTGTTTCAGGAGGCAGGATCTCCTATTTCAAGAAACTAATGCGAAGTCCTTCAGCGACATTTTCAGGGTGTCTTTTAAGCGCCCTTTTAGATGCGTCAACCTTATGCTTCCGTAAGAAGAGTTCAGAATAGAATCCTGGCTTTGTGATTCTGAAATCAGGTAGTCTTACGACATGGCCCACCAAGGGAGGTTTACCCTTTTTTATAGCTCAGAAGACTCTCAGAATTTGGCCCTTTCGGGAATTTTGGTGTCTGGTATTTTGTTGTGCCACCATTTAATTCCAAAAATTCTCCAGACACATTTCTTGCTGAAATGTTTTAACTTTTTTATATGGCACTGGTATACTCTCCGGGCCTCAGCGTCGTATACAAAATGGTTTGGAAGACAATAGGATTTTATCTCTGTACGAATATAACTGCTGTCCCAAACCTTTACCCCGAGTCTTTCAAAAGACGCACTCACTGTATTCTTATTAAGTAAAGCTATTTCTGCGTCGATGGGGGCATATAAAGGCAGTGAACCGTCAAATTATTTGAAACTATCGACGTTTTTCATTGTTAAGTCAAGCATTTTGACAAAACTAATCAGCTGTTCTATAATTATGTTTCTCCTGATTATTTGGTTTGTATTTTTATGACGTGATTAATAATAGTGGGAATATTTCATTATGTGTGTTTATGTGAGAGTAAGTTATGAGGGGTGGGGGGTGCGGGGAAAATTCTGACGTTTGAGACCCTGGACAAGCGTTTGTAGTTGTGGATGGGGGGTGGGGGCAGATCTGAGAGCTTCCTTTGCAGTCTTTGCTGGCTGAAATCACGGCACAGAAGAATAAATTTGTTTACATTCTGTCTGAATCAGTTGTCGCATAGACGACTTGTTGGCGCAGTGGGAACCCAAATAGAGATATATTTGGGGTGGCATAGATATGGACTGGGTGCAAAAAAATCATGTGGAAAAGACCACTGGATGTAAAAGGATGCATGTTCTATCACCAGCCCCAGTGAACCCTAACAATGCTCAGTGTGGACAGGCCAACAGCTTCCGCATCATCGGAGGCACTCAGTCTGGACAGTGTGAGTTCCCTTGGATGGTGATGGTTTATAACCGAATGGAGGGCACTGTGTGTGGTGGCTCCATCCTGGATCAAACTACAATCCTAACGGCTGCCCACTGTGTGGTCAACAAGAATGCGTAAGTACTTGCTACACTCGTGGCCTGAATAGTTATTTTAGTCGACATATTAATAATAGTACTATTTTAAGGGGACGCTCACTGATAAAGAACAATCAGGAAAAGACACAATGGAGTTTTTGGGACACCTGAATAGTCATAAAGGTCTTGAACAGCTAGCTCTCCCTAACAAAAATGAATACAAACGAGGCAGGTGTAGGCCCAGAGCAACCTATTTGGAGAACCTAAACAGATCGGTAAAGAGGAAAGGTCAGGGTAATGTAGCTTTTTTAAAGAGCGTCCGAGCAAGGGAATGAATGAAGAACCATGATCAGCGATGTCTGTCACAGAATATTAAACTTGATGATGACGATGATGATGATGATGATGATGATGATTGATGATTAATACTATGGGTATTTTATGATTGAGGCCACTTGGCCCCTTTACTGGTCATTCCGTTTGATTATTTCATTGGCCCAGCTTGAAGTCGTCGACTGGGGCTTTGGTATATGACTTGAATTTTGAGGTTTAAAGCAACTCGATGTTCTATTATAATTACTTTTTACAAATGAAATAGTGGATATGAGATGAGAGTACGATTTTTTAAAATTATGCTTTAGCAATTAATTTTAATTAAAGTATGATTTGTTACCAATTTTATTTCGTTCTGCATGGTAATTTGGTTATTACTTTTCTTAATCCATCCTGTTGTATTCCTTGTGCTTTCAACTCAATGTATGGAATGCGTGAAGCACCTATTGCTTTAAACTGTTTTTCGTTGTCCGGTTTATAAATCTTTGCAGGCTAAACATTTTAATAGTCAGTGTAGCAGTATTTGTTCTCCATCAGTTGGTGTCGACTAGTGGGTAGTTGGCGGGTGCTCTGGTGTGGTTTGCTCCTTTTCCCCCCTCAGACAGTTATCGTCCTTCTCTCTCCTCCTTCTCTTCTTTGTGAGTTATTATCTAGTAACTAACACCTCTAATCTCCGGCACTCATTTGACCTATTCGTGTTGCAAGTGCTGTAAAACTGTTACTAAAACCAAAACGATATCGACTATGGATATTGTGCCAATGGCAGCAGCAGCATCTATGGCTGGCGAGTCTAACACAGAATTCGTGGCAGTCAGTGTCACTACGTGCTTCGGGCAAATGTTTGGTGAAGGAGATAGTTTAAGTCCTTAAAAAAAACTAATCTGTATTATGTATATGTCCAATGGCAGTATGAGCTCGCGTAAGCCTCTTTATCTTTGTGTCTGCCACACATACACTCTCTCTCTCTCTCTCTCTCTCTCTCT